AGTCATGACATAACACAAACTTCAAAATTCAGACATAAAAAAAACATTAGAACCCAGCTGATAACATGACTGTTCATCTTGAGGTGAGATAGACCTGAACTAGACTTGATGTGAACTTGAAACAAACTTGAGGTAGACTTGAAACAGTCAATGCTTCATCTTATCCCAGACTCAGAGCAGTGTCCAGTTTTGAGTCCATCCACGAGCACTAAAGTTCCTGAGGTGAGCATTAGAGTCCAATGTCCAAAAGTCCATTTAAACACCAGGACGCGGCTGTCATCTCCTGGAATGACAGAAAACATACGGCAGTCTCTTGTGGAAAATAAATGTCACATTAAAAATGAAAATTAAAAACAAAACTCAAAGTCATGTGTCTTGAAATTATAACCACAAGTTTAATCACTGAAGCTTATCTCTGATTTTGTGAGAAATTCCACCCCCCTTTTATCAAAACCTCTGTATTATGTAAATATGAAGACACAGAAATCCAAAATGTTGAAATAAAAATAAAACAAAACAAAATTCACAAGGAAGAGTAAATCTTTCTTTCCTTCACTAAAAATCAACACAGACATATGTCAACACATAGAGTAAATGTCAAAAAACAACAAAATCAGATTAAATGTAGAAAAACTTCAAAGAGGGATGTCTTACCCTCAGAATGAGCTGAACTACAAAAATAACAAACAAAATCAATCTATCTAAGCCCAAATCACTTACCTACAAATGAAAATCCAAACAAAAGACATTATGTTCTAACCTCCATGGACTAAAAAACACGAGAAAACTCCATATCAAAATAAAATATCACTCATTCTTACAAACAGAGCCCTCAAATTATAGAAAAACTTCAAACAAACAACTTAATAAAGGTACACCTCCAAATTTCCTGACGTACTTCAAAACCCCTCATCTGACACCTCACCAAACCATCACTAACAGAGTCAACCTCTGTTTCATTTTCAACTTCCTCAAAATCCATTTTACCATTTTATCCACAAACACCTTTTTACCAACATCCACTTTCCAACCAAGTCATAATAGTATTTGTTGATTGACAAAGAACAGCATATGCTAACCTACCCCAGTAATTCAGTTTTCTTTAATCCTCCCACAGTAATTATTAACTCCAAAACTTAGTTTTCACCCAAAAAGTCTTTGGACCATCATGAACACACACAGGATTGTCTATTTTGTTATATGGAAGTGTCAGAGGTGGTGGTGGAGCTCTGTGACTCTTCGTAGATCTCGGTTTAGTGCGAGAGACTGGAGATGGAGGGTTAACTGGATCTGGACATGGCGTTTGTTTGATCTTAATCTCATCAGGTTCTTTCCCTGGACATGGTGTTTGTTCGATCTTAATCTCATCAGGTTCTTTCATGTTGTCAGCAGAATCCAGGAGAGGACATTCCACTTGCTGTCCTGTTGGGGTCTCAGAGTCCAAGAGATCCTCTGTTTGTGATGCTGATGAATCCAGTTGTTCTTCAGGTTCTTCAGCTTGAAGTAGCTCCTCTCTCTCTGATTCTCTCTCTGATTCTGATTCTGAAGCAGTCTCCATATCAGTAACTGGCACACTGTGTTCCACTGATATCTCAGTTTTCTCCAACTGTCCTTCAGACGTCAGCTGTTGTGGTTCATCTGTGTCCAGAACTCTGTTCAGGAAATACTTCATGTTTGAAACCAGTAGTTGTGCTCCAGTTTGATTCAGAGTCATTCCATCAGACCTGAATAGATGTTTTCTTTCCCAGAAGAGATCAAAATTGTCCACATATCTCACAAAATGGTTAGCACAGGATTTTTCCAAAAAACCATTAAGAGCTAACAGTCTACTGAACCTCTCAGCTCCTCCTCTGGCTGTGGGAACCGGTCCACTGATGAAAACTTCCATGTTGAGATTTTTAACAGCATTCAGCAGCTGAATAAAATCCTTCTTCATGATTTCTGACTGTCGGTTCATAACTTCATCACTCCCTGTATGAA